TCCGCCCGCACCTACATGTATTATATATCTGGTCTAACAGCATACGCTAGCCAATCATTATTTAATAATTTTTCAGGTCCCACAGGGTGAAGGATTTTAAACGTAAGAAGCAAATAGTATGGAATAATCGCTACATCAAACTTTTGAGACAGCGAAGCCAGTTGCTCGGAAGGCACCTGTACATAGGATAGGTTGATATACTAATAGTTCATGCACATATTTTAATGTAATGATTAAAAATGTAGCACATCATTTACTAAACCTTTATCAAATAAAATGAGATCAGTATGACAATGTAATTATAACAATTGACCAGTTTTTATATGCTACGTATTTTGTGCTTTAATTGTTTGTTTTATTTTTAGACACTGAGATCACCCCCACCTACTCTGGAGCGAGTGGCTTCCTTGGCTAAAGTAAGGAGGGCAGCCTGTGCGGGTAAGCTACCTTGGATGATAGTAGAAAAACCAAATGTTGTCACTTTCATCTTCATGGACCTTGCCCAGGCTTCACTTCACATCCAGCTGTGTGTCAGCATATACAGTGATCTATCCACCGAGGTGGAAGTGCTTGGTATACCTGCTCCATGCCTCCAGTCATCGGTCGAAAAGATTTCTCTAAAAAAGCTGGAAAGCCTCTATCGGTGTCCTGGGATAAGTGACCCTAACCTTCAAAATTATGCTTCCAACCATCGGAAATACGTATTATCGACATTGAGCTTACCGTGAGTTTATAAAGAGCTGGAATATAAGAATGTATGTGTATATGTATAGAAAATACTATTATGGCTATGGTACTAGATTATCCCAACTTATGGAATGTATGAAGAATATATTAAAATTTTTGTGTTTTAATGCATTCCCCGTCACAGTGTTTACAGTGTATTACTTGCAACTACAGTAACCCCTCGTTAAGCCGCAGTATTCGATGTCGTAATTTGCTCTAAGTCGGAATAAGTGGCCCTATGTCACGTGCCGATGGAAACGGCTGTGATTGGCTATTGTGAAGTGATGCGCGACACCGTCGCTGATTTTAGAAGCGTTTCTGAATAGTTTTGTCATTACAGTTGTTGCCAGACATTGTCGCGTGTGTGTGCAACAGCTCGCAGGAAACAATAGTTTCTAATTTTATGAAATGTCGTTTAACATGACGGTCGTAAGTGTTATTGTTTTGAAATAAAGTTGTATAGTCGGTCGTGATGTACAGGCGTTATTGGCCTAATCCTTGCGTTGTCCTTGGATCGTAGTAATTGTATATGGTCCTGAAGATGCACTCGTACCCGACTCTTCAGTGATTGCAGACTCGGTGTCCAGTTTGTTCTATGCGAGTA